AGGGGATGGGGAAGGGATGGGGTGGGGGGTGGTCCGTGTCTTTGGCTGTGGGCAGCATCAATGGCTAAGGCAGAGAAGAGGATGCAGAAGCTGATTTATACAAATGATGTCTCTAGAATTGGCATATTTCATTGGGCATTAAGGGAGATATGAGTACTATTCTCAAGTCAAAGAATGGTGCATTCGAAGTGGAGGGATATTGTTAGTAAACGTACAAAATGGTGATCTAAATTCAGGAAAGCATACTCTTGTAGATCTTAACCTTATGAACCACATCAACAGATCAAATCCAGCTTCCTTATTAAGAGTTAGTTGAGGTTTGTTTTTTTTCTTTTTAGTACGGGAGATCAAACTTGGGTCCTTGTGCTTGTGAGGAAGCAGTGGACCACTGAGCTAAATCCCTGGCCCATTCCTTATTAAGAGTACTGCACACTTTCCAAACAAATGTCTTTTTGAACACCCATGAGGATGGCTGTATGAAAGACAACCACTAGTAAGTGTGGGTGAGCATAAGGGAAAAGAAGCTGGAGGCTGTGTAGGACATGCGTTGGTGGGATGCAGTGTGGTACAGGCACTTTGGGAAACTGGATGACCCTCAACAGCTTAATCATAGAGAATTACCACATGACCAGAGATTTACCTCCCAGGCACATAACCATGAGAAGCAAAAACATGTCCATGCAAAAATTTGTACATAAACCAGGAATGTTGGCACAAGCTTAAACCCAGCACTCTGGGAGGCAGAGGCAGGCGAGTCACAAGTTCAAGCACACCCTGGGACACTTAGCTACCTAGCAAGAACCCATCTCAAAATTAAATAGAAAGAGCTGGTGAGGTAGCTTGGGAAGAACTGGGTACAATCCCCAGTACTGTACCACAAAACAAAATAAAACATGTACATGATTATTCCCAGAAGCTTGACTTATAACAGTCAAAAAGTAGAAACAACCCACTTTTCCATCAACTGATAGGTAAATTAGTAAGATGTGGTATATCTGTATGGGTAAATATTATTCAACAGTAAATATTATATGACAATAAAGAATGAAGTACTGATGTGCTACATCACAGATGAAGCATGCTAATGAAAGAAGCCAGAAGTAAAAAAAAAGGCCACTTTTGGTCTTAGCACTGAATTACATTCCCAGTCCTTTTTTTTTTGGTACTGGGGATTGAACTCGGGGCCTTGCGCTTGCGAGGCAGGCCACCGAACCACTGAGCTAAATCCCCGGCCCATCCCAGTCCTCTTGTTTTAAAAAATGTTTGAATTATTATTTTGAGACAGAATCTTGCTAAATCGTTCAGGCTGGGCTTGAACTTGGGATCCTCCTGCCTCAGCTCCCAGGATGATTACAGTAGTGAGCCACCACACTCGGCCATATGGGTAATTTTATAAAGACAGAAAGTACATTAAAGGTTGCCAGGGTTTGGGGGGGAAGGGGGAGTGCCTGCTAATGGATATGGGATTTCTTTTAGAGGAACAAAAATGTTCTAAGATTAGAATGTAGTAGTGGCTGCACAACCCTGTGAATATGCCCCAAACCATTGAATTGTATACTTTAAGTGGGTAAATTGTATGGTGCATAAATTATGTCTCAATGAAGCCATTTCTTAAAAAGGAATAAATGTCTTTATGAGTGGTTTTGGTTAACCAAACAGACAAAGCAAGGGACAAGGGAATACTACCTACGTGCCAATTTTTCCCAGTTCCTTCCTGCTGTCATGGTGTTTAACACCATGTGAAAACAGTGGCCTTCCTTTTGTTAGGTAGGAATTTCGCCTATTAGTAGAGTTACATAATTTTAAGGTATATTTTTTGCTAAAAAAATAGTAATCTTAAAAAGAGTACTTCCAAGGGCTGAGGATGTAGGTCAGTGCTGGAGTGTTTCCCTAGTATCTGAGATGCCTTAGTACCAGAAAAACACTTTCTAGGGATACTTGGGGAGGTTTTTCAGGAACTTGGGGTGACAAAGAATAAGGCTGGGCTGCCAAAGGTCAGATTGCATACCTTCCTTTGGTAGACATAGTGTTAAACATTTGGAAATTTTCACATCACCAAAAAAATCCAGATATTTGGCTTCTTTTGAAAATTCAGAGATCTGATAAGTGTGATCCACAGGGCTAGGATCTTGTAAAGTGGAGAGGCATTGCCTCCGGGCGGGGGACATGGTCGGTAGTTTGCCACCATTACCACCATCCCTGAAGCACTGTGTTCAACCACCCACAGAATCTGGTTGTTCTGCAGAGATGCTACACTGCCTTGTAGCCCAGGCAAAACTAGAAAATAAGATTTATTTATCTGCACCTTATGTGAGCTAAACATAGATATTTCATTTCATCCTCCTGGAGATCCTGTGCGGTGAGGACGCTTCTTTTTTCTTTTACAGATAATGCTAAGCAGGCTCAGAGAGATCCCTTAAGTTGTCCAAGATCACATAGCTAGTGAGAGAGTGACAGTATTGACCCAGTTCTGATTCTAAAGCTAACATTTTTCTCCGCTAAGCCACATGACCTCACAGTTGTTAGCTTGGCAAATAATAGAAGAAATGGATCACATTTCTCCATCCAAATATGCCTCGTGTATCTATGGGAATTCTGACATGAGTTTGAAATGCACAGTTTATAGCCTTGGCCTTTGAGGTTTCTGAGTAGGAGCCAAATGTTTTGTATATATAAAATTTAAAGAAAAAAAAAAAAAAACAACCCAAACCATTAACTGAGTGTGGTGATGCACTCTTGTAGTCCCAGCACCAGGAGGGAGACAGCAGGATTGCCATGAGTTTGAGGCCAGCCTGGACTACATAGTGAGTTCAAGTCTAATATGAACTGTTTAGTGAGATATTGTTTTAAAAAGAGAAAAAATCATGAAACAATACCTACTAATGTTGTGAAGGACTCTGATTTTTTCTTTAATATTTCATATATACTTCCCAACCCATCAGTGAGCCCTGTAGTTTGCAATATGCTAGATCAGAGCAATAGTAGTAAAGGAGTTCACTTTCCTGGCCACAGTGACATGGGGCCTAACTGACAAGTGCAGGTGCTAAGCTGATTGAATGGGACAGAGAGCAGCAGGCAGATAGAGGTGGACACCCAGGGCGGGCAGCCAAGTTCCCCGGCAGAGCAAGGAGGCTGCTGCCAACCCCTCGGGCAGTGTCAGCCCAGAGGAAGCCTGAGGATGGGAAAAGCTAGATGGCCCCAGACAAGAGGGTCACCCCAGGCTGGGAACCTCCAGGAAAGGCACCGAGGATGCCTCCAATTTCCCAGATCTTCAGCCGGGGGTGGGGGTGGGTGGGTGGGGGGACCCTAACACACCCAAGAGATCTGCTTCTGCACCTGGGGGAGAGATTCCATTTCTGATCTGCTTCTAACCAAGTCAGAGGCAGGCAGTTCAGGAGTCACTGCCAACACAGAGCAAGCGGGCCCCAGACAGCCTTACCACACAGGGTACCAAAGACTCAGCACCTTTATGTTTAATAAACACACACACCAATAAGCCCTCCAAAAAAACAAGTAAACAAACAAAAGGGGAGGAGGTGTAGCTCAGCACTGAAACACTTGCTCAGCTTGCACAGGCCTTGGTTCAATCCCCACCATAACTACCAGAAGACAGGAAGTGCCCCGATAGCTTGCGGGGTGGGCACAAGATGCCTGCAGCACACTTGCTGTTCCTGAGGGTGTTAGACGGGAAGAAGTCTACAGAATCCATGTCTGCTTTTGCTGAAAGTGGCTGTTGATGATTGTTCTAAGGCTTCCTTTTGACTTCCAAGAATGGAAACGAGGAAGGAGGAAGGAGGCAGCACGATGTAGTCTCTTCTAACATGAGTACTACCAGCAAGTGGGTAGTCACTTTCAGAAACGACTCTGCCTCGAAACCATTCATGGCCTTTGACCAGGCCATGATTTTGCTTCTAGAAAACATCTGGAAAATAATCAGAAATAAATAAAAAACTCAAAGGTGTGAATAAGAATGTCAATTGCAGCATTATTATAATATGGGAACAACAAAGATGTACAATGAGAGGGGCTGAGTTAAATAAATTTTGGTCTTTGGTTGTCTCTCTCTCTCCTTTCATTTATTCTGAGGAAGATTTTTTTTTTTTTTTTTTTTTTTTTTTTTTCTAGGGGACTTGAGTCCTTGCACTTGCAGGGCAGGCCACCGAACCGCTGAGCTAAATCCCCGGCTCCTTTCATTTATTTTGAGATAGGTTCTCACTATATTGCCCAGGCTGGTCTCCAACTCCTGAACTCAAATGATCCTCCAGTCTCAGACTCCTGAGTAGTTGGAAATACAAGTGCACATCCCAGTCCTCCATGAGTGGGGTGTTTGTTTGTTTGTAGCACTGGGGATTTGTTATGGTTTAGATGGGGATTTAGCTCAGTGGTGCCGCCACCTGCCTTGCAAGCACAAGGTCCCAAATTCAATCCCCGGTGACCAAAAAAAAAAAAAAGTAAACCTCTCCTTTAAATTGTGGGTGTTGGGTATAGTGTCCCAGTGATGAGAAAGTGACAAAGACTGGACTGAACCCAGGACTTTCACACAGCTCCTCGCCTAGTGGCCCTCCACCCCTTTTAAAATTTTGATCCAAAGGCTCACTCAGTTGCCCAGGCTGGGCTCCAACTTTCTATCCTCCTGCCTCAGCCTATTTTCAGAAGGATCCCTGGTTTGAAAAAAGCATATGTGTGAATATTAAGAAGATTGAAAGAATATACCAAAGGCCATAATACAGTATTATTTATTTCTACTGGGAGGAAATCTGTTTTTTCTTTCAACTTTTCAGTAATTCCCAAGTTTTTTTTTTTTTTTACAATAAATTCAAGATACATTACTTATAATTAGAAACAAAACTCTCCATCCCTCCCCCTCGCCCCCATGCTAGGGATTCAATCTAGGGCTTAGCACATGCTAAAGAAACACTGTAATGCTGAGCCATATCCCCAGCCCTTTTTAAAAAGTTTTAATTTGAGATAGTCTTGCTAAATTGCCCAGGCTGTCCTTGAACTTGTAATCCTTCTTCCTTATCTTCCTGAAGTAGCTGAGGTTATAGGTGTGTGCCTCCACACCTGACTTCAAAAGCACTCCTTTTTTTTTTTTTTTTTTTTTTTTTTTTTTTTTTTTTTTTTTTTTTTTTTTTTTTTTTTTTTTTTTTTAAAAACAGGGTCTTGCTATATAGTTCAGGCACACCTTGAACACCCCAGGTAGGCTAAACTAGTCTCAGCCTCCTGAATGCTAGGATTACAGGCATGAACTACCACAACAGGCCTAAAACTACTCAATTTTTCAAAGAAAATTGCTACTAGAAGACTCAAAAATTCAGATAACTTTTAAAAATTCAGGGACAGTGGGTAAGGCTCAGTGGTAGAGTATTTGCCTAGCACACTTGAGGCCCTGGATCCCATTCCCAGCACTGCAAAAATAAACCAAAGCTGGGTGTGGTGGTGCATGCCCATAATCCTGGCACTTGGGAGGCTGAGACAGGAGGATCACCAGGAGTTTGAGGACAGCCTGAACTACATAGTAAGTCTCTGTCTCAAAAAAACAAAAAGGAAGTGAGCTGGGGATTTAGCTCAGTGGTTCCCCTGCCTGCCTTGCAAGTATAAGGTCCCAAGTTCAACCCCCGGTACCAAAACAAACAAAAAGGAAAATAAAATTTTTTTAAAAATCAAGAAAAAAAATTGGCTGGACAGCAGGGCACATACCTGTAACCCCAGCAGTCTGGGTGACTGAGGCAGAATTTCAAGTTCCCCCTGCACAATATACAGTATAATGGGCTGGAGATATAGGATATAGCTCAGTGCAGAGGGCCTAGGTACAACCTCCAGTACCAATAAATAAAGATTTCATTACGTACTCTAGAAACTCTCCTCTATAAGGAAATACAGTACCACTTATAAGGATAAGCTCTGAGGCAAGTGCAGTGCCTCTATTACCCAAAGCTGACCATTTTAACAATACTAACCATACTAGGTACCTGGGGAAGAAAGGTGCTATTGTTTATTTGACAAAACCTTTTCCCTGCTCTTCACTACTGAGGGGTCTTTTGTAATGGCTATTCCTTCTTTCCCTATAATTTGGTCCTTACTCTGCCTTTCCACTTCAGCTGCAGGCTCTCTTCTGGGCTTCAAACTTCTGTTCCCCGGCACATTCCAGTTTCTCCTGTCCACTGCATGCCCGCTAAACCACACCTCTTTCGCATTTTCCTAACTACAGAAGTCCCACACTGGCTCTGGAAGGAGCTGTTTTGGAGTCTCCTGTCTTTTTACCTCACATTAAGTTCTATGTTATGGCTTTTAAAAACTTTTTTTTTTTTTTTTTTTTTTTTTTTGGTACCGGGGATTGAACTCTGGTCCTTGCGCTTGCAAGGCAGGCCACCAAACCGCTGAGCTAAATCCCAGGCCCCATGGCTTTTTAAAATTTAAAAAATTTTTAGTTCTGGAGATGGGGCCTTCCTACCTTACTATGTAGTTCAGGCTGGCCTTGAACTCCTTATGTAACCCAGGCTGGCGATGAACTGGTGACACCACTGCCTCAGCCTCCCAAGTGCTGAGATTGCAGTTGTGTGCCACCACACCCAGCTTCAAATTCGGGTTTTTGTGATGGCTGTTTTGTAGGGCCGAGGATCCAACCCAGGGCCCTGAGCACATTAGACAAGTGCTGCTCCACTGAGCCAACCCCCACATCCCCAGCCCTTGCCTTTTGTTATTTGTGAAGAACACAGCCTTTGGAACCAGACACCCCAGGTCAGAATCTTAGTTCTGATCCTCCTTAATTAGCTGTGTCACCTTCAGCCAAGTGAACTGATTTGTCTGAGCTCTGCCAGCTTCTGTTAAAATGGATGCTAATCCCTTTCACAAGGGGAAAGGGTGTCAGAGTTCAAATTAGCACCTATGTATAAAGCTAAAGCTAAATTCCTTAGACCACTGTCAGTGATCAACAGATGTTTAGATTATTTTAAAACTAGTCTTACATAAAAACTAGAGTTTAAAAAAAAAACTAGTCTTACATATAACTCCACCACTTAAAAACTTTCCATTTCATTTCAACATTTGCTTCCAAATTAACTACAAAATCCTCCCCTGGCCTTCAGGGCCCTCCCTAATATGGTGAAAGTCTCCATTTGCTTTCCTGCCTACTGTCCTCCCAAGTTCCATCAAATTGGACCTTGTACTCTCTCCCCTTTGAGCTGCTCGCAGGTCAAGCTGTCTCTCTGGCTTATAATGCCCTTCCCCATCTCTGCTACTGAAGTCTGTCCTGTCCTTTTAAACCTTCTTGACCTTTTAAAATTCTCCATTTTTTTTTTTTAGATGTTCCACATATATCATGAGCCTTAAAATGAGCTTTTTAAAAAGCACAACATTTATTAATGAGCTCTCTTTTTTGATTTCTTATTACTATTGGTTGTGCTTTTTTTGTGTGTGTGTGAGACAGGGTCTCCCTATGTAGTCCAGGTTGGCCTTCAATTTGCGGTGATCCTCCTGCCTCGTCCTCAATAGTGCTGGGATTACAGGCGTGTACCACCAAGCCTGTTGGGTTCTACCTTTCTAATGGCTTTTATGGTGTCACAAATATAACAATCAAAACTGGCTGGGGAAGTAGGAGTGACCTGTTAATTGCAAGATTCCAGAGCAATTCACTTTCACATTTCCCTATCTGCCCTTTCTCTCTTCCTCCTTTCTGATCTTCAAATAAGTTGCCTTCTTTTATTTTAAACTACTTCTTTCTTTATCAATCTAGGTTTAGGATCACCAGAGCAGTGGCTTGCTGTCCACTCCTGGACATTACAGTGTGACACAGAATGGCATGGTATACAACCCTCCCCAGACATTACAAAAAGATCAAGAATAATGGAAATAAGCCTCGCATGGTGACATATACCTAAAACCGCAGCACTCCAGAGGCTGAGGCAGAAGGACCAGCAGGAGTCGGAGCCTGCTTGCACAACATGGTGAATTCAGGGCCAGCCTCAATAACAAAGTGAGACACTGTCTCAACAAGAATAATAACAACAACAACAGATTACAAGACCCCAGAACACAGCACAGAATAGCTCCCAAAGCCCTGTACATGGGCTTCTTTTGAGGACTGATATGTAGTTCTCATGGGTTTCCAGGAGATTTAAACAGCATAAAAGGACATGGACACCAGGGAAAGCTTGCTATCTTGGCTTTCCTTGTGTTAACCTGCATCTTCCCCAGTGTACTTTTGCCTTGCTTTTACCTTTTTATTTATTTATAATTTATCTTTCTGAGTTTATTGGTACATTTTAGGTATACAGTACAGTTACATTCATCATTGGGATCTTGTACCCTTACATGAGAGGTCTTGGTTCTCATTTTCTCCCCATTTGCCTGCCCTCCCTTCACCCCCTCCTCCCCTCCCTATTTACAAAGACTTTGTTTCCATTTTCTCATATTTTTTCTTGTCCCTTATTTCCTTTCCGCTACCCTTCCCACTTCCCCTACACCTTGCTTTTACCTCTTTTACTTGGCTGAAACTCACTCTGCAGAGCATTTCTCCCTCACTCTTCACATGTATTTTTTTAAGTAAACTTTGTCACCTTTTTTTGCTCATATTGTTCCAATCTTTGTTTGAGATAAGAAGAAAATCCAACTCCAGGAGGAAATGCAAGCATCACAAAAACCAGTAACTTTTGTCAGCTACTTTTAGAAGGAGCTACCCAGTAACAACAATGCATTATGTGTTTTAGAACCTATGTAAATAATCTTACATAGTGTGTTGTGCTCTTTGCCCATAAAAGGTACTCAACAGTCACTCTAAAGTTGATGCTTAATTTTTGTAGCACACTTACCATACTGTTGATGTTTACTTTTTAAAAAATGATGCCTAGAATTCCCTTCCCTTTGTAAATTATATATGTTCTAGTATGCTGGCCTTTATCACATTGATATTCTTGTTGGTCA